CACGCTACTGGTAAATGCTACCTAAGTGGTCTGTGCAAGTGTCGCCCTTTCACACCACATTTAGAATTTTCCTGTCCAGAAATCAGCCAATAAGGCAATCAACTGTTTCTGAACCATGAGCACGACCCTCTGAACTCCATAGCAAGCAGTGCTATAGGAACCTCACATTGTTTCACAGGGTTAAAGCCAGGAGGTGCATGCAGGTGCCCCTGCTGACTGCTCGGGGTTGTGAGTTGGGAAGATAGGAAGCACTTGATGCAGGGAGGTGATGGTGGCAGGTTGGAAAATGAAAATTTTTGCCCCTGGTGAGCAGCAGAAGGTTTAAATGTCTGCAAGAGACATGTGCTGTGTATTGGGGGAGCAGCAGCATGGCTGCATGCCAGGAAACGTGCTCTAAAGGATAAACTAACACTGATCAAGATGTTCCTAAAGTTTGCTCATACTACTGTGCTCTCTTCATCTCCCACACTTGTGATCTATGAAATAGGTATGAAATGCTAAATTAATTTTCATTGGCAGATAAAAATTTCCATTTACAATTCCCAAATGTGGAAAAGCTGGTGGATGCATCTCTTCAGACAAACATAGTGCTGGGGGACATCAGGAAGAATAAACCTGAAGTTCAGATAGTGAAAACTCATTTTTTTCCAGCCTCCAGAATGATTGCTAACAGCAAACCAACTCCTACAGTTTCATATCCAGATCAGCTCTAGGAAAGTTCATTTACAGTGAATTCATTACCCTCTCCCTCCACTGTGTGCAACATTACCCTCTTTTTATGGGAGGAGGATCCAAATCTCTAAGGAAAGTAACTGAAAGAACACTTCTAGAAATCAAGATTTGGAGGATTTCTTTCTGGCCAAAACATTGTAGTCTGGGCACAATCCACCCACTTGCTACCACCAGTAAAACTTTTCTGCAAGTAGAAGTTAAACAATCCAGGTCTTCTAAAAGGGAGTCCAAACTCTGGGACATGAGCCTAAAATGCATGCTTATGTTCATGGAAAATACACATGCATGAGAAACATTGAGAACCTGCTCTGCAGAAGCAGCAGCTCACAGTTCAACGGCTTTGGGAAAGATTTCTCTAAGCCTATACTAAGTCCCCCAAACAACCCAGTTCATTAGCAATTGCTGCGAATCACATGGATCTGCTACATATTATTCCTTTCATCTCTATGGAAACGGGTTTTACTCTACTGAATTTAGGTGACTAAGCATCTTTAAAAATCTGACTCAAAAATGCAAGTGGGTACCTTGAAGATTTTTGTTAAGTGCCTAGGTGTTTAAATTTCCCATGGAAATTTAGGCAACCAGCTGTTTTTTTCCAAATCTCATAAAAACATCTATCAGCATCACTAAGAATAAAATTCTTTTGAAGAATCTGGTGCTTTGACCTTCTGCACTCAGGTAATAGAGAAAGAAAATGTTTTCCGTTTTGTTCTGTTCTGATCTGTTCTAAATTTGTGGAAACTTAAATTTTTAATTGTTTACAATCACCAATTTTTCTGTCCTTAAAGTTGTTTTTTTTTTTTAATACATAGGAAGAGATGACAGTGGCAATTCTTTAGCTTTCAAAGCTGAAAGTACATCCTTCTCATTTTAATGCGGGCTTTAGGACAACGAATATAAGTTTCAGTTCAGTCTGATGAAAATAAATCCATCTACAGCTCACCAAAATTCTCAGAGAGTACCACACTAGCTTTAGTAGCTATCTGCACAAATTCTACCCCTGTTTAAAACGATTTCTGCTGCTGTATGATGGCACTCTTGTGATGTTTGTTTGGCTGCAGGCAGAGCGTTCTGGGAAATGCAAATGCTTCCTCTGATCAGCATCTTTTTCATTTCTCTTCATTACCAAAGAAAAAAAAAAAGAGCAATTTCAGCAAGAATGTACTGTATTGCAAAACACATTTTGAAGCGATTCTGCAATGATAAGAAGCTGCCCATGCTCAAAAGCTGTTCCCTACTTAGAGCATTCTCTGTGCTAGCTGGTTGGTTGGTACCTACCAAGCTTTCTCTTCAGCAGACAGGAGAGTGTACACTTTGTTTTTATGCTGGTCACAGCTGGGATTTTGTGGACGAACATTAATGCTGTTAAATATAAATTCGAATAAAGGAACACAGAGGGAGAGTATCTACACTTCCAACAATTATGGTACTCTTAAGAATATTATTAATGAACAAAGTGTGAAGACTCACATTCATGAGTGCTTTAGAAATGAAAAAAATCCAAGAACATTTGCACATTAAAATTTGGCACAGTGTGAGCCTAAAGTGTGCATAAAGTCTGTGGTAGAGTTGTCTGATTTTAAACACCTACTCTGAACAAGTATCGAATAAAAATCATAAATTTGAGTATAAAAACTATGCTATAAATTGTTACACTGTAAATGCAATACTTTGAAAAAAAAGATGCCACGTGGAAAATATTTCCAGAAGTTTCAAGTTTGCATTTAATATTAAGAAAACAGAGAAAAAGCAAACTAGCTGTACAATGACATTTCCTACAGTGGAATGTCTTGCAGGCCATATGTGACTTGAAATGGAACTTTAAAAAAAAAAAGAAGAAATCATTGGTTTACTACAAATTTTATGAAGCAATCCATTTCTGGTTTTTGTATTTCAAATCTGCTCAGGTACTTTGCTCAGAAGGCATTTGAGCTGGCAATATATTTCATAAGGAAAGAAGTAAAGGCACTCATGTTCCAAATGTAAAACTCAATCTATTCTAAGAGTCTTTGCAGTCCTGAAGGGAAACTAAGTTCTCCTATTCAATACCCAAACCCAGTTTCACTCTACTCCAGAGCTCAACTGTGCTTCTTGAGAACTACATGACTTTTCAAAGCAAAGTAATTTAAAGTAGTACTACTGTACAGTTCCCATCGCTTGAGAAAAGCAGAAGCATTGCATGAAAACTTCTCTCAGCAAAACTTTTTATGCACGAAAGCCATTAGGTACGGCCACTACAGTCATGAGAAGGACAAAAAAGGATCATAACAACTTAGGAAGTTAATTTAAGTTCACACATATGAGCATCTCAATGTTTCTGAGAAATCTTTGCAGTTAGCTATACAAGATAAAGAAATCTGATGTTTTACCCAACGCTCTCTCCAGAAGAGAGCCTGATGTTGTCTATTAGGTATTTTTCTAAATAGCCAACGTTACATTAAAAAAAAAAAAAATTACTGATTTCTTCCTCAAAAGGTTTTCACATGCAGAGTCTGCAGTCTGAAAGTGCAGAGAAGTGTACAATCATTTAGCTTTCCATTCTGGAACAGACAGATAAAGCGAAAAAACCAACATGCGAAGTCACAGCAATGTATCAGGAAAAGGGAAGAAAAGAGAAAACGAACTTCAGTAGCATCCTGCTCCATGACTTTGTCAATGAAAAGTGTTAAAATAGGACTGATAGTATTTTTGAAAAACTATTCTGCAACCACCAATGAAAAAAATCCTGTATTAACTTCTATAATCCAATGGAACATTAAAAATAAACCTATCCAAGTAGTTTTGAATGTATGCAACACAGAAGTAAAGGTCACCCTCCTCAAAGAAATATGAAAAGTCCAAACCAACAGACAAAAGCTGAAGCAGTGACAACTTGCATCCTACTGGGTAAGTTTAAGCATCTTTAGGCACTTCACTGGTTCATTAAATGCAATACAAAATAAAGCTATAAATATCAACATTTTGTGCTCTTAAGAATTAGTTGAAAGCAACAGAAAACAGCACAAAAGTGTGACATTTTTGGCAGCTTATTTCTTCCCTTCCCCAATATTACTGGTTGTCCAAGACTGCTTTGTTTCGGGGATGCTTTGGCATCTCAGTATCAGGTTGTCTTAAGCCGTAAAAGCTAAAACAAAACTGCTAGGCCTTAGACAATAAAGAAATTTGGTTTTAAAATTTCTTTATGGCTATGTAAGAAGGACACTTTAGCAGTGGCATGATAGGGAAAAAAGCTTGCTTCTTTTTCAATATTGCACTTTTCGTTTGTTCACTCACACTAATGCATAGAAACTTTTTAAACTCTGAATATTAAAATTCCATGCTATGAAAAAGTTATGGGAAATAAATTCCTATACATCCAATATGAAAGAACAGATATGCTAGCCTTCCTTTACTTTCCTTAGTTAAAACATGGAGAAAGAAGAGAGTGCAAAAAAATCCACAACCCTATTTTTGGTCAGCCTGTGTATTAACTTTGTAGGTGCCAACTAAACAAATTGCAACATGTGATGAGCGTGGATATTGCAAGGACAACTGAGGGTGACGGTCAGTAAAAGAAGATTATACATGAGTGAAACACAGTAAGTGTGGCTGAAATGGCAAATCGTGAAGCCTCTTCTCTTGGGAGGGGGCACAAGAAAGCAGATGAATTTCGCACATCAGTAGCATGCTGTAGGATTTGTCATGATTAATTTCACATTAGAGTGTGCTCGATGTTTGCATCCACATCTGGCATCACCTTCAATTGCTGTAGTAAGACAGGGACTGGCAAGCAGCCTCCAGGAGACACAGAGGAATCCAGTGGGCCGTTCAACGCAACGCAGCACGCGCGTCTCTGCCACGAGTCACGACGTGGTGGCACGTTCCCAGGACAGGCAGGACTCATCTTCTGCTGGACTCCACTAATCTGAAAAATGATTGCTTGGAAAAAGAAGTCTCTAAGCACTTTGCTCCGGTGCTTAAAGAACAAAGCGCTAGGACTGGATATAACAAAACCAGTTTCAGGATGCTGACCCCTGCGCGGAAATCCAGCCGGAAACAATGCAGAGTAGTGCTCCTCAGGGTTACGCTTCTTATCATTAGTAATGTTAAGCATCAAGAAAATAAAACACGTCATTGCACATTACAGCCGTCACGAAGCACGGCTAAACTTTGACACTATAGAATTGAATAACCTGATGCTACATCACAAACAGCTTCTGGTGTGTATCTATCTCGAAAGGTCTTTACATACTCAGTAAGAACTCCTTCACTCCTGCCCAGCCAGGGCTTCAGGTTAAGTGGCGCGTTATGGCGCGAAGGGCGTACAGAAGCTCGGCCTGCATACGGGCTTCCATGAGGAGCAGATTGACATGAACCTGTTGAAAAGGAAAACCAGCCATTTAGTTCACCTCTGAATGCAACATCATTTATTTGTTTAGGCTAAAATTTCTAACCTTTAGTAAGTAATCACTACAAGAAACTGTCCTTCCTGCCTGCATGCTGCTGCAGGACTCCAGTTCCTCCTGAGACAGATGTGTGGTATGACAATGCTAGACAACGTCCTAGGACTGCAAGGAGCTAGCCTCAACTGCTGCTTTAAGCAATCTTCTATCTAAAAAGTTCCAATAAAACCATTTTTGTGCCCTAACTGTATTAGCGATTTATGAATTGTATTTTGTTTTCTTTACTACCACTATAGAGGAGCACAGAATAAGGAGTAGTTTACAAGCCAGACAGACTAGCAGGCACACAGTCATTGAACCCTTGATAGGAAGCAGTTAACGTGGATATCTGAAGACACGTTGACATTTTTATTGATGAAAAATACCATGAAGATTTTATATATGTAAAATAGATCTATATGAGTTAAGGTCTTTTTTTGATCCCCAGATCAAGCATTGACATAGCTGACTTCTGTGTTCCCAAGTTTATCCACTTTTCTATTACAGTTTTCAGTTCAATTTTACAGAGAAGTCACTCAAAATAATAATAATAATAATAACAACAATAATAATAATAAAATCACCATTTCCCATACGCTAAGAAGTATTTTTGTAAAATTGCTATCTAAGACTCCATGCATTGCTCTCATTTGTTTTCCTCTGGTTAAAACCAGTTTGTGAGACACTGCCATTCCTCGGTGTGGCTGTGTTCTCACCTCTGAGCAGCACGGGGGTCTCTGGGACACGTACCTTCTCAGAGTGCTTGAACTGGCGCCAGTAACTATCGTACATGCGCTTGGTAGTTCTCTCTGGGTAGCAGGTCACTGTCTTTATGTAAACCTTCAGGCTGCGTTCAAGTAACTGATTAACTTCCCCATAATCATAGTCGTCATACCTAAATAACACAGGCAATATGTTCTTAAGTTTAGGACTGTGTTTATTGCACAGGCAGGAAAATCACCTGCTAACACAGGATCTGAAATGGTTAGTACTAGGATCTTGTCTTTTGTGAACCAAGGATACAGGACAGCTCCAGAGAAGACATCTGTAATAATTTCCATCCTGATTTGTAATCATTTCTCCCCTGGAAGCAAAAGTTATACTGATACGCCAGAAAAACCACTCTCAAATTCCAGACTGAGGTACCATCTCCACTTCAACACCTGGAGTCTAAACCATGCTTCTCAACCCGTTTCATTTTCCATTCTGTTTACACAGTTTAAAATGCCTTCCTAAGCCAGGGGATTTTTGTCCATACCTGATTCCATACATACAGTGGACATAGTTAAATAAAGCTCTTCTTAGGGTAGTTGTATCAACATCTTCATGGGTTGCCATAGTGTTATACGTGAGGTTATACACCATCCGAAATTTCTCATCAAGGAGATGCCCAATGTCAGAATAAAGCCTGTTTACAAGGGAAAAGCCATGATTTTCCCAAGTATAGTCCTGCAGGAAGAGAAGGAAATATATAAATGTACAGATGAACTGATAGTCCTTACCTGATCCTCTCTGTAGCTTAGTGTTTGCTGTCTGCTAGTCGTAACTTTATTCTCTTTAGAAAATTTGGATTTTGAAGCCTTCATCGATATCACCTGCTCCATTGCCCCAGGCTTCCTGGCAATGAATATCATATTGCAGCACCCCACCTACAACTGGGTATCATTAGCCTACAGGAGAAAAAAACCCCGAGCTTCTCCTGAAGTGCTGAGGCAGTTTTCCAGTGTCTGCTGTGCCACTCTGACCACTGTCGTTCTATGCAGGATGGGCCTCTGAGGTTAAAATAGAGCATTTACTTGGAGCCAGAGTGTACAATTACTGGGCAAAGTGCTGAACAATCCTTGAACAAACTAATGAAATCCAGGCTGCTTTGGTCTTAGGACCAAAGGCTTGGAAGGATACAAGCTTGCCTGTTCATGTCAGGAATGGGAACTTTTTGCCAAGTGGTGGCACGGCATCAGCAGTGCAAAATGACCCTGCTTCAGAGCAGCCTGCAGCCACTCTCCACGCTGTGGCTGGACAGAAGAACATGCTGGTGTGCCCACATCCCTGGCAAGTGTTCTACTGTTCAATCACTGATGCCATCTTTACAACTGAGGGAATCATCTCCACGTCATTCCTGTGTCTGGATGTTTTCAAGAGGTTCTGGTAGGCAAAAGTCTTCACCCAGGCACTTTAGAGCACATCTACTGGACTGGCTTGATTAGGACAGTGGAGGAGAGTATATAGGACAACATGCAGCTGCCTCACAGAGGTATTCAGTGACATCTGAAACACACCACATCATCACATTTGGCCTCCGGCTGCCAGGCCAAACAACCAAAAAGCTTGGGAAAAATGCTCTGTACCTACCAGCCCTGTCAAGTTGTCCAGGACACCTGAGGCTTCACAAAAGCCTCTGAAAACCAGAAGCCTCAGGAGGTGGAAAGCACTGTTTACTAACAGCAGTTAATCCATACTAACAATGAAAAAGGGGAAAAAAGGTATTTAAAGACATTCTGCTGTGTATGGAATAGTTTTTTCTCTTCCTAAATTTAAACCCTCAAAGATAAAGGCTGTCTTATCAGAATAAGGATTGGATTTATTGCAGGATTTTGAGATGATACTACAATTTAAATAGCATTAATAACAGAGCATTTAGGAGGCTGTGGGTGTATACATCTAATTGCTTATGAGTAGGACATACTAATAAAGTTAAATTATCAAGGTGATTCCTTTGAACATAGGCCAGAAGCTGTCCTGTTTATTTAGGAGCAGAGGCATTTTAGTTCCAATTTCACCTTCTGTAGAGCTTTTTTCCAAGGCAGCTTGCTGCTCCTAAAGTAGTTAAGCAGAACGTTTGATTTATAGGCACTGACTCTGCCTTATTCTTTTTGGCAGTATCTACCTACTTTAGTCTCATATAAAGACCACAAAGTAAGTGATCCAGATCAGCAGAGACTGCTATATAGCTAAATACATTTCCTGAGAGTGATCATGGGCTCTTTATTTTACAGTCTTAGATACATCTTCTGACCATGAAGTTTTCCTGCACCCGCTGTTGTTTTAACTGAAGTTCTCTGATTTGGTTTAAGATTTCTCCTGTTGCTTACAGTTTATTACTAGACTCCTGACTGATCTACTCTCTAAGTTCAAACAGAACCACCTAGAATATCCCTCCTGTTATGTATATTATGAAGAAGTTAAAGAGTTTGGCCATGGCAAGAGATGCCAATATGTAAGACAATGTAGAGGTAAAGTGTATATGCTGTTTTTTCAACAGCACTAAAAAAAATACTCAAATATAGCCCAAACTTCAGTAATCATATTTAAGAACTCCTTTTATTTTCTGACATTCAAAGTCCAGTGATTTGGTGCATGTATGAGAATGATACTCACCAAATTGCTCTCACAGACAAAGAACTCTTGATAAAATGACAGAAATAGTAAAAGACCCATCTCAGGCTACAGCCACTTTGCACTATTCACTCTGTAATGATACATACAAATATTCTTTGAGCGAATGCACTTAAAAGAGATGGTACCTGAGCTCTGAATGTTGGCAGATGGTCTTCTCCTCGCCTTGCAAAGTCTTTGTACCCAAACCCAGGATCTTCAATATACCGGGAGACATCCATAGAAACTATTTCATCATCAAATGCTGTGAATAAAGCAGCAAAATGCTTTGCTTTAGGCAAGCACATCAGTTAGCACTGACTTCCAGCTGCTGCTCTACTACAGGACTTGTTCTCTAACCATTTTAGAAATTATGCCAAGGAAGAAGGTAGTATGAAGGACAGAAACATTTTAATCCAAATCTGCTTGTATGGAGTCTATACCTTTTGTGGAGCCACCTAAATGTCAGCCTACACCAAACAGCTAACATACTTCTACAAAATGTGAAGAGATGGGCTAAACTTCACTCTGGAGGTGTGCTCTTCTCTCGCTTGACTTCTGAGTGAGGCTAGGTATCTCAAATCAGGAAGATGAATCCTGTCAGTGAAGTCATTGTGCTAGGGTAAGAAAACAGAAAAATGTACCCTTGACAACAGGATTGCTCTGCTGAGCAGGTGTGGTGCCAGGAATTACACCAGCTCTGTTCTATAACCTGGAGTATGAGCAGCCAGAAAGCAATGCAACACTTCGAATTGTAAATATCAGCTGAAGATTATAGGAAAGCAAAGAGCTCTGTAGTACATCAGGCTGAAATTCTGCCAGAAACTCCAGTAACTAAGCATCTTCAGAGAGCTCCAGAATGTGTCACTAAGCAAGCACAGGTTCTGCATCAGGGATCAATCTTTCCCTCCTGAACAAACAGGTGGCTTGATTGTGTAACTACCTGTGCAGAAGTTGACTGCTGCACAGCTGACTGCATTTGACCCTGATGTTAGAATCCTGGCTTGCTTCCACATCCATTGACAGGACAGTTGCCATATGTCCACTGTTAGCACCTTGAAAAGTCAGTTAACCTAAGAATGCAGAAATGCTTTATCTCCTTTTTACCTCATTAAACAATCAAAACATAACTGCGTAGGAAGAAGCTTGCACTGCATCTGCTGCAGCAAATACTCAGTGAAGAACAGAAAACCTGCACACATACACTCCTCTCCCCTGAGAAGGACTGAATTTCATGAAAGGGTAAAGGCTCAAAACAGAGAGAGAATCCTCAACTCAGACCAGCAAAAGGCAAAGTCGGAGGAAAGTCAACAAAGCACCAGCAACCCCATCAAAAAACTTCTGTCCTAAGCAATGCCTCTGCCTTTTATGCCTGACACTGCAGAGACTCGTGGAACTCCAGAGTTGATAATGAGACTGTAACGGGTGCCAGTTTATCTGCACTGTTGATACTGTCTGATCAAGGAAAAAATCAAGCAGGAACGAACAATGCCTATTTCCTAAAATCCAGCCATGACATTGCTGGATGTATCTTCTTTCAGAGATTTTCCTTGTTCCTAGACAGCCACAAAACAATCTCTCTGCTGATCCACAATACCTTCTTCCTCCCTTTTGGGCTTAGTGCACAAAAACTTAAGATACCTTCAAACATGTCTGATCTGAAGCTACCAAGATCCAAATCCACAAAGAACAGTGACAGGAAAATGTGAAGCATTTTATGGGTCACTTCTTAAAGAGACACAAGCTATCATCTTCAACTAGCCTCTACTATGAGGAAATGGTTGGAGATTCTGATTGTCTTAATAGTATTCTTTCTTCAAAAACTTTATTTGGAAAAACATCCCACCTTCCTGCTTATGGGAAAGAGATTTCATTGTATGGTTTGTTAGAGATGAAGGCCTCCAGAGCATATAAAGAATATCTGAAAAGAAGCTTTCAGTTCAGTGTTTTGAACACTAATTAAGAATTTAAAAAAAAAAATGCTAAGTATCTCTATCACAACACAGGCAGTGGAACAGCAGTGTGATCACTTAGAACAGCCAGTTACAAATGTCCTTTCCAGATGTAAATAGTAAAGAAGTTGAGTCTCATCCTGATCTATTTCTTGAACTAAATGCCACATCTGAAGAACTTAAAACTGTGAAAAATTACTGAATTCTTACATGAATGAATGAAGTTGAAGATACAGAGGATATAAAGAAAGAGAAATGTACATCCAACTTTTTAAAGAAGCCTACAGGCTATTTTTTTTTTTTATATACAAAAGCTAAATTTTAAGTAGCAAAAAGGATGGTCTTATTTGCCAATCAAGAAATCTTAAGCAGATGAGGCAAATGACAGGACCACCCTTACTACACTCCTACTAGACCAAGAGCTAGAATAAAGAAATGGACAGAAAACGTTGTAGCCACTGAACTGGCCTCAAGTGTTTAGCTCTTACAAAGCACAAACAAAAGGGCACTGGAAAAGCACAAATACCTCCACTAATTACTAGCAGACTCTCCTTCTTCTCGTTTTCAAAGCGAGTTGCCATTTCTTCCTGAGAGGCTTCTTCGTCCTCTTTATCTTCTTGTAGCCTCTTCATCCTTTCCATTAAGGCCTCCAGCTCACTTAAAGAATCTGCAATCTGCAAAAACACCGTGACATTCTGCGAAATTAGAAGATAGACAGCATGTGTCATCTTCGGATTTCATGCTTGACAACAACCGTTCTCAAACACAGACAGGAGCAGCAACCACAAAACTCAAGCCAGAACGTGCTTCATTTTGTCACACACGGTGCAGGCAAACAGCTTTCAGACAGTCAGCAGAAGGGAGCTGGGAAGTGTTCCTCAAACCTCTCCAGTAATCTACTGCAGTGGGAATAACAGTGGAAGAGGTGGTGTTTGAATGTGGAAACCACAGTTGCTTATAATGTATATTCCACCATGGAGATGGCTCAGGAAAAGCCATCTGTGGGCCCTGGTGAACCAGAAAACAACTTCTAAGTAACTTTTTTCAGTCTATTAGTAATGCAAAATATGTTTCTGAAGAGATATTGTGCAACACTGCAATGCAGGAACACAACCTGAGACAGCAAAGCAGTGGTTTTTTCTGTTTCTTTTCATTACATGTGATCAAAATAACCATTATGTTCACTCTTTTTTGTGCTTTTGTAAGGAAAACAGGCCTCTCTACTAGAAATACATAAAAGTTTGGGATTCTGTGATCTGTACTTATCATTCAGATTTTTCATAAAATTGTTTTTTCTTTTCCATCTTTTCCTTTTGATTCTGTTCTTCTGCACACAGCTACAATTGTTTCCTAGTATGCTACTCACAGCTTAACAAGCAGCACAGAGTCAGCAGCAGCCCTTTGCCTGCTACAAATGGGCAATAAGATAGCCCAGTGATTTTGAGCTAGCATGTCTTAAAGCCCAGAAATTTAAGATACAGCAGTTGAACTGACTGATCACAGGTTCACATTGTAGTGCAAATTTTCAAAAAATGCATCTTTTGCTCATAATCCAAATCTTTCACCAAAAGTTGATGAGGCTAAGTCATCAACTGGCATTAATTCAAGGACACGTCTTCAAAGCATTACAGAGGCATTTTCAGAAAAAAAGTTCCACGTTTAAGGGAATTAACTAGTACCTGTTGGTTGATTCAAGACTAGAACCCCATCATGAGGAATTAACTAATTTTATTTCAGGCATTTTGTCCCACCTACATGGAAGTGTTTCAGAATTGACCTGGTTTGTGATTGTAGGCCTTGAAGTCAAAATTCTTCTTCTGACTTTTTTTTTTTTTCCCCCATTTTTTTTTTTTCATTCCATATGTTAGGAACATGGATGACACAATGCTCCAGTCAGAGACACACTATCAGAAGAAACTGGGACTTTAGGCTGAAAGCAAAGTTTTAGTCTTTTCCAAAGGTTTGTGAGTTTAACTGTTAAAATCACATTGCTCTGACTACTATTCACCGTTACAGTGTGGTTTTCAATGGACTACACTGAAAACTGCTAGACTGAATGTAAAGAGTTACCAGACTGAAGCATTATTCCAGTAAAACAGACAAAAACCTTCAAACTATGATGAAATTGGAACAGGAAAGAATAAAGAAAGTTTTCTAATGCAAAACAGAGGCAAGCAAAAGAATTTTCTTGCAACACTAACCCCAAAGTTGCTACTTGTGAGAGATGCATTTTCTATGTTGTTGTCATTGGCAAGATCACAGACACAGAAGTTGTTGACTGCTATAAGTCTGACTCCATTAGATGTATCCGGATCTCTCTCTGGATTAATGCCACTACCAAATACAAAACTTGCCAAGGCATGATAATGTGCCAACAGGACAACGGCATGCACCAGTTCAGGAAGAGACCAATTATTTTCCCCAGTCTTGACAAGTTTCTGAAATGAGAATAAAAAAACGTGTAAATGTAAAATTTCTTTTGCTCCCCAGCTTTTCTGTAAAACACTATGCATTTTAAAAAGGGATCAACTCCTCTCTTCTAATAATACCGTATTCCTCTTGCATACAAACCCTCACTGGATAAAAAAAGACACCTAATATATTAGCTCCTTTCAGTCAGGGCTTTTTTAGGCAGTGCTATTTCTACAAAGTAAATCTTGTTGGCTTTGTCAAACAGAAGGATTTATTGGCTTATTCGATGCTCCAGTACCTCCCTGAATTTTTTAACTCACGGTAATGAAGCCTAACCAGACACTTGTGCAGTTCTTAGCACTGGACGTTTACTGCTCCTGCAGGGCATGAGCTCCGAGGTACCTGGATGTGCTCCTTCGTGATCAGCCAGGGCCGGTGTGCAAGCAGTTTGTTTATTTCGTTCAGATTTTTCAGTCTTTGGGGAATGTATTCTAAACCATTCAACCACTCTGCAATCCCGCCAGTCTTCAGAAACTCATCGACGTGCATATTTATTAGGTAGGAACACTGATGTCTGGCAGCAGCCTGGAATAATTAAACACAGAGGGAAAAGTGCTGCACATTAGCACACAATCTGATTTTGCTGCAGGTGGAAGACAGGTTACTAACACAAAACAAAAATATTCCATTTCAAAGGGCCATGTTTTATATTGCAATGCATTTCTGTACGGTATGGAGGATTCTCCAATAAAAACACGTTTGATTACTTTGTACAGTATCTAATTTAGGTTGGAAGAGATCTCTAGAGAAGACCTGGTCCAACCCCCTGCTCACAGCAGGACTGATTCAGACCAGGTTGTTCAGAGCCTTGTCCAGACATGAACTCCACCCATGGAGACCACACGACCTCTCTTCAGCCTTGCTGCAATGTCTCAACATCCTCATGGTAAAAATTGCTCTCCTAGTGTCCACGAAGAATTTGTTGCGACTTGAGTGCACTGCATCTCAATATGCGGCTGTGCACTGACAGTTAAACACCCAGAAGTAGGTTTACACAGTTTTAACTGCTGTCTGCAAAACCTCACTTTCGTGGGCATGTGAGAAGTGTATTGCTGTGGAAAACAGGGAAACATGTACGTTGCCAACTCTCCCTTCTCAAGGAAAACCTTCTGGCTAGGCATGCTTTATTCTGATGAAAATCTACTATAAAAATTCACCCCCTGCCAAAATATCACACTAGTCTATCCTTTCTGAAGTCCGTTTTTTTTTTTTTTTTTTTTGAAATACACAAGGTGGCAGGAGGGAATATGTAGCCTGTTGGTACGTACCATGATAGCAATGTAGTGCCTATAGGGCAAAGGAAGGGGCCCGTCCATGCGCAGCATGTAGAACTGGCTGCGGAGGAAAGACTCCAGGTACTGAGTATGGATGCTCATGACCTGTGTGATGTTGTCCAGGCGACCAGACGTAGAGTATTCTTCCACGAGAAGATTAGTACGTTCATCCAAACCATTTGCTTGCATAACCTTAAAAATAAAATGGAGAAACTTTTAGAAAGAGATTTTCTCTAGCTTTAGCCATGGAGAGACTCATAGCGCAGCATGGAAGGTTTGCTTGTGTACCAACTGAAAGGGAATGCTGGAGATACAGATGTCTATTTGTAAATATGCACACTTGCATGTGTGCAAATACAACTTGTATACTGAGAACTGAAGAGCACTTTACACTGTACCTCTGTTATTTTAGTATGTTTCTGTAAAAAATCAACCATTTTTCTGTCGATCTTTCCAAAACGGTTAAACTGGCAGGTGTTTAATGTCAAACCTGTACAGAGAGCTGGAAGTAAGCAAAAGCTAAATGGAAGTCTTTATGGAAGTCAGCTTGTGTAGACACACACCTCCCAAGCATTCACCCTAAAACCAGTTTCAGAACTAATGGAGAGAGGAACTGGGTTATGTAACCAAACTGTAGAAACAGCCTGGCAATCTACCCCTTCTGTGCCTGTCTAATTGAAGAGGAGATCACATGCTAATTTGTCTATAACACTCAGGCATTATTTAGAATAGAAATTTAATGCTTTCTTTAAACAAAAGCTGTTCTTTAATTTTTCCAACCAATCCAAACCTTGGGCACAAGATGAAATGAAACAGCAAAGAGTAAGTACCTCTTGCATTGCAAGCCCTGACACAGTATCAGTGCTATTACTCAGTGTTTATCACCAAGAACAGCCATTCTCAACATGTTCACCACTGAAGCTACAAACAAAAACCAAGAATACTCGGTATTTATTCTGAAACTACAGAGTATTAAATCAGCCAAGCTTACCATTGCAAACGCCATGAAATGAGGAAACATTTTAGCTGGTTTACTGCACATGAGGATAGAAAGTGCCTAAAAGAAGACACAGCATTTAAAACACATTTTCTTTCTTTATGATGGGCTGATGAATGGACCATGTCTCAAATATGTTTCCATCAAAACTTATATAAAAGTTACATACAAGGAAACATAAGGACCACACTACATTTTCACTTTGCACCACCGTAGCTCCCTGTTTTTCTCAAGAAGAAAGGGAAAAAGCAGCTATGCAGTTAGGCAGCCCCATCATTTTTATTTGTGTAGCTCTTCAATATGGCAGCTTTTCTGTGGTTTTTATAACCAAAATGCTGCCTCCTCAATTCTCCTTAAGAATGTTTTTACCATCCTAAGTTTATTCACACATCAGAGATCATTTCACTTATTACAGTATGCCCCTCTCTCCACTGCAAGGGGTCCCCCTTATTTTTCAGCAAGTGTATCTCCCACGTATTTAAGACATCTTTGTCTCATGAAGTAGTTTCTTGGAGAAAACATCTGGTTGCTGGTAAGGTTTCTCCAGTTTGTCAGGAGTTTTCCTTGTAGCAGTACAAGTTAAGGAGGAGAAATTTTGCTAATGTAATTGAAATATAATCCTGCAGGACTGCACTGTAAGTATGTTTTTATTGCTTCTGAGATTTATCCCCACTATATTACTATCTTCTTCATACTGCATATGTACTTCCTCCTGATTTATTACCATCTGTGGATTCACAAACATGTTTTTTTATTCTGCTTGTAAAGCCTTATGGCACTTTAATAGGAACCTTTACAACCAAGTTGTTAGTGCTCTGTCCATATTCCTTCCATTATGACCATGAAGGAAGCCTTGACACAAGTAGAGTTATCAAGATTTGTGAGATGTTCAGTGTGTTACTTGTATCTCCAACTACATCCTTCCTATCCACGGTATTACTTTGTGCCAAGAACGGGCAAAAAAACGTCATCCCTGGCTTAGCAAACAATATTTAACATTTGTTCTTGATTCTGAATAGTTCCTCCACAAGAGGTGGAGGGTCCCTGCTTGTACTGAGCAATCACTGGCGTTACTCCTCTCTGAGAGCTACTCAGTGATTTCTTCTGCACCTTTGGCTAACACCTTACCAAGTGTACCAGCTATGAAAGAAATTTATTAATGATTGTCTCAAAATATGTTAACTACATTCTTCTACTTTTTATACAACTATTGATTTTATGAGAAAAATTAAGCCATTACAAAGTTTGGCATCACAATTTCATCTCATATTTCCTATGAAAGGGAAGTCTTCTTCACAAGTTTGGCTGGCTGGAATTAATTTTGCTCCCCGCTTCCCAAGGCCTAAAAGACTTTTTTTGACCTCTCTTTCTTTTTGCTTCATTACATTTGTTTTTAAATTCCAACCTTGCCATTGTATAAATGTATAGAAACTACATTAAAAGAGAGAGTAGCAGCTATCTCATATTTCAAAATGTCTTTTTGGCTCTTCTCGTATGTGAATTATCTGCCCTTCGCAACTACTTAAAACAAAACAAAAGTCCTGGTTTTATAGCTGGCCATCCTAAATAAATAATTGATCAATAAAAAATACTCTGTGAAGACCAAGATCGCAGGAGAACATCACCTTAACAGACTTTCTACTTACTGCAGCAGGCTGCAAATCAAGGCTTAAGCTGAACATTAAATCATGGGCAGAAATCTTGAGTTTGAAGTCAAACTGTACCTTTGAACCATAAATTCTCTCAAGAGCCACAGTTACGGTCTAAGGAGTTAAGTCATATTTTCAGGTTCTCTCAAACTGAAGGTCAGACAGTGTCCTGAGAGCTATATAAACCTACCACTGCAGCACTGGATAAGCCTCCCCTTAGGCCTGGCATTATGAGTAACAAGTGATCATCCCCCAGGAGAAGAGTAGAGCCAGCACTCATGGCTGTCTGCAGGAGTGATGGTGACCAAAAAGATTCAAAGAGCAGCACTTGTGTCAAAGGTCAGGGTGGTTCTCATGCACCATGTAAGAACTGCTCCAGAGAAACCATCTCTTTTGCTCACAAAGGAGCTCATCTCGGTACCACAGGACGAGCAGGACTGTAAAACTGCTCTTCAGTATTTTCATTTTCAAGGCTATCACGTGCCAGGTCCAGCTGACCACAAACTTACCTCATTCTCTGGTATAAAGGCACTTGGTCCTCTTGTCGATGGTGGGGAGACTTGTACTCTTTTTTCCTGAAAAACAGTCACATAGTTCAGTCAGCATCAGGAATAACATGATAATTTGTTTTATCTCATAAGATGAGATCTTCAAGGCCTAGAGTTATTCTTCCGAAGGCCACCTGGGTGTTCTACAGCCCACTAAGGAGGTGAAGCCACCATGTTGCATTGGTCAGATCAGCTCTGCATCCCCTGTAGTTTGTGTCAATGAACAGCACTGGTTTTGGCAAGGGGTAAGACAGAAAACCCCACAAATCTAATCCTGCTTAGTTTATAGACCAGCTTGACGATACATAGACAACAATAATAAAACATTTGGCACGTTGCTAAAATTAGCCATTTACAGGATGGAAGGTTGGAAACCAGAGGGGGTAAAAAGCCACACTTGGGAAATTGTAAGATGTTGTTTTCTTCAATAGCAACATCTAACAAGATCCTCAGTGTTCAGAAGAGTGTGAACATTTGTGTGCCAAATGTTGGCACAAAAAGCACAGTCCATGCAAACCAGCAAGAGCCAATTAAGGACCTGTTCTAGAAGCCAGATGAAATGGCCACCTCACGCAGCAGCCGAGCCCCGAGGAGAACACCACACGCAGTACAAGCCTTGGTGTGCAGACCCCAGCTAGGAGTCATGAAACGCCCTTTGAGGAGGGGACATTAGTACAGAATGGTCAGACAGCATAACAAGAGCCAGAGGATTTTCTTGATTTCTTAGGGATAAGAAAATGAACTAAGAGAAAGGAGGCTTTCACGGCATGGCTGCTGACATGGATGAAGGGGACCTTGGGTAGCTGCAGCTCCTCTGATTCACTAGGGACAGGAACTGCACCGTCCACATCATTCCTGAGCAATGCTGGTCCAGCCTCCTCTTAAACACTCTCCTGGGGGTTCCCCTGTCACCCTGGGTCATTTATTTCAGCTCCTCAGATTGTTAGAAAGTTTTCCTAATGTCCAACCTGAATTTCCCTTGCAGCAATTTAAAGCAGCTGCTTCTTGTATTTTCTTCTTTTCTTCTTTAGGGTTATAATCCACCTACCTGGAAACTAGGGCTGCACAATTTCTCAAGTCCCTGACTGCACCGCAGCATTGGTGACTCCTAGTTATTCATCAACAGCAGCACTGGATTTGCATACTAAATATTTCATGCCCCTAACATAAAAGTCTGAGATTTTCCATAACAAATGACCCTTAAATACCTCTACCAGGGTAGCTTAAGCTTAACTGCCATGTGCACAACAAACAGCAGCACCAGTTCCTGAAGGAGCATACAAGAAAATGAAGCTCCTAGATCTGTGTAAATACTGTCCTGCTCCTTAAAAATATCCTAAATTTGATTATGCAAAAATATGCAAAAATCAGCAGTGATTACTCAGGAAAGATATTCCAAAGCAAATTCTCACAGGACAATTAAATTTGTGACTTCGGAATAATTAGCTGGAAAAAAAAAATGCAGAAATAAGCTGGATCTACTGTGTGAAGCCCAGCAGACAGGAGACTATTTACTGCAACTGCTGCCTGCTGTCACATCCCCCAAATCCCTTAAAATACTTCTTATGAATCAAATGTACTCAGTCTAAGGTAAGAAAAAAGGGTGTATAGAGGCTGGGTGTCTGCACATGCAACCCCTTCCTCACACAGCTACACAATGTCAGGAAGACACCTTCCAGCTTTAAATACACAATCTTGCCAGCAGCCACTTATTTCTGCAAACTTTTAAAAAATAAATGCTTTCCAAGATTAGTATTAAGGTTGCATTTCACTTGTTTTATGAAGGTTATCTGGATACTAGAGTTTAAAACCTTCACTTCATACTGAATAATCTGGAGGAAGCAGCTTGTGCGCATCAGACAACCTGGATAGCCGCAAACTGTCAGCTCTTGCTGGAGCCCAGGTCCAAGCCACAGCTAAACAAACCACTGCCTTCTCCATCTTTCTCTCTGACCTATACCCTGCTTCTTCACCCTCTGCAATGCTGGTTCTCGAGGCCAGACCAGGGAAAAAAAATGCATATGCTTCTTCTAGCAGGATCTGGGCTCTGTTTCCCTGTTTCCTTGCTCACTGTGACTGCTATTGCTCCTTTGACCTTGTAGATAAGCTACTGCTGAGAAGGAAAGGACGAACAGTCCTTGGGTGGATGAACGTAGTCAAGTATCTCCAATTAATCCCTGTGAATGACGACAGAAAGCCAAAAAGATAGTCAGACATGAAAAATGAGATGTGTTAAATACATTATAAAAAGGTCAAGAAACAGCTCCTTTTGGGGGGTGGCAGTTCTAAAAAACAGAAGCTTGGAAAAACCAGACAAAACAGCTAAAACAAGAATAAAACCCCAAAATCTCGAACAGGGTAGCTAACGTTGGTGAGCCTAATCACAGCACAGTTCCAGGGAGATGGATTTTTTTCTATATTAGAAGTGTATACTCTTCCCTTCCATCAACACAAATGGTTGTTTTTTCTTATGCCAAAGCTTTTATTTTATTAAAACTGGTTAAAACAAGCTTGTCAGAAGAAAAGGAGCAAACATCATCTGGTTGCACAAGTTCTCAGGATGCTATTAATAAAAACATGGGAAGTTTACGAGTACAAAGATAACGTCGGCTTTGTTGAGCTTTAGATAAGAGCCACTGCTTCTGGGCATACTTTATCTAGAGCAGTGATTTAAGGTCTACCAAAGAACCCAAATACGAAAAACTATGTATGGCAATTAGAAAGCAACGCTGCAGATATATGGCCCTTTATGGTGAAAGTTCTTTCAAAGCTTCTTGTTTGCCAAGAAAGCGGGTTCATGTTCCTGTCCAACTAGTTTGCAGGTTACACTAGCTACTGCTAAGTCAGCCAGGGTCCCAAATATCTAGTATGAAATTGGATTCTTATGCTAAGTGGCTGAAGCAAGAAACAGGTTGCTCAGCAACTGAAATGCTGTATGTCCATATACCAGCCATTTTATGCCTCGTGTTCCTCCAGAAAGGCACTGCCTGGGTAGGAACAAGTTACCTCGAAAGGTTTCCAACCATGTTCATCTACATTAAGACCAGCGCCTTTTTGGGGGGTGCTTCTTCGGAAGGAAACAGATGATGAAGAGCTCCAAAGACAAGCAGAGAAAACTGAGCCTGGGCAGGTTACTGGGAGAGGGGCCACCGCAAACCAGAGCTTAGAAGCAGGTTTTGGAGCAGTGTGTTGCAGCGTCAGGCAGCAGAACGAGACCTCTGCAGACCACAGGAGGGCTGCTGCAGGAACTCCTGAAAAATCAGGTCTCTGGGCATGCTTTAGCTGCGACTTGCTTTCTGTCCGTAAGCTGCACTTACAATGGTGTCAGGAGCTAAATACGAGGAATTTTAACGGTGATGAAGTGGAACTAATTCTATTTGTATGTCTAATTTGCAAGAGACACCTTCATCCTTGGGAGAGCTCTGCCCAAATCCCCCAGAGCCAAAAGCTGCACCTTGCCATCTCATGGGTTTATTTTCAGTCGTGGCAGTGACCACACAGCTTCCCTCCAGAGGCAAGAGGCCACAGACACCGGGACATGGCGCCTCATCGCAAACAGCCACTGAGCTGCTGTGGCAAAGGAAGGGATGCCAGAGCCGCCCAGGTGGCCACACAACCATGAGGCCCAAGGAGGAGCCAGAGCTGGGACAGCACAGTGGCTTTCCTCCCAAAGCCTAAAGCAAAAGAAATAACCTTTCTTCCTCTTCACTATGACATGAGTCACCACATCCTCAGGCTTTAAAGAAATGGGTATTTTTAGCAAGCTGTCAAAGGAGGCTGTTTTATTTGAAAATGAGTGGCTAAGTGGCAGGGGTGATCGAACAGCTGGTTTAGGAAGCACTTCTGGAGGCCCAGGAATGCAGAAAGCCCAGGCCAGAAGCAAGTGGCTGCACTGATGAGGATGTACGGGGGCTTCCCGCACACGTGGTGCACAAAAGCTAACTCATCCTAAACTTGACATCAAGGTGGTCATGCTGAAACTGGGAGGGGAGAAAAAAAAACCAAACCAAAAACCACTGGGGAGAAACATTTTGCACCTCAAGAGGCAATTTTGCGAGCTGTGGCAATGCTGCCACTTGTGTCCCTGTGAACTCCCAGAGCAGTGCATGTGGCCAGGAAACACCCATGAAAGGGCTCAGAGCCTCCACTTCAGCAAAAATGGGCACCACTATAAAGACACTAGGATAAAAAACAGCACTACATCAAATATAAATCCTAAGGGCATCCCAACATTAACTTCTCCTGAGGAACTTTTTCGTAAACATGCAGAGGGTTTTTTTTTGGGGGGGGGGGAAGGTGATGGGTATGTTCTTATTTATTACATATTTATTACTCTTCTTGTATTATATAATCTACAAGCAATTTTGCTACTATCTAGCATTCCCAAGGTTCTTTATTATTTAAATTCAGTGGCCTATCTCTTTACAATACACATTATCATCTGTGGCAATAACCATTGGGACACCTGGGTGGAAGTGGAGAACTGGGTTTAGGATCCCTGTCTAGTGCTGAATCTCCCCAAAGGGCTCAGTTTTGTCCCACTCTCAGATTTCTCTTACCGTTCTTCAAAACTAAAATACATGAACTCAACCTCATGGACTGCTGTCGAGCCCACTTTTGGTTTTCAGTCCGACAGGCACAAATGCCTTCCTCACATTTTAGTTCATGTGGTCCAGGCAACATTACCTACTACTGATGCTGGTTAAAACCCTGCCAACAAACTGGTTTCTCCTGCTCCCACTGTCACCCACTGAACACATTTCCACTTCTGGTTCTTGGATTGTGGAACAGGGTCTACCTCCACTTGCTCCATCACCATCAAATGCTCTGTGTTTCAGTGACATCAAACGTAATTTTAAGTCATGCTGGACCGTCTGCTCATTCTAACTTTGCTGAAGACAGAAGAAAGCATGAAAGAAAAAAAAAAAAGGGTATCTGAACATTGATTGTGTCTTAACTACTATTATTATTTAAATATTTCCTTAGGATGTGGGAGGGATTTTGTTTATTTCTCCGTATGCCCAGTGGCATTTTAATTTATCCACCTAATTTTGTAGAGGAAGAGCCATTTAGAAATGTGTCAGGAGTTTACAATGACATCAAATTCATTTTAGGTGGAAACTTAAACACTTTTAATAGATTTATATAGGATTATTATAATATTTAACACTACACAGACTTGCTGACTAAAAGGAAAACCAAATAGACACAGTTTACCTCCCTTCACATATCAGTAGTCCTGGGAGGTTCTGATTGACAAGAACAAAAATGTATATTCATCAAAGCTGTGAAATTTTGAAATTTATTGAAAAACATTTATTGATAAATCAGAAAGAAAAGTTATGCTATCTAGTACAATAAAATAAAGAGCTTTATAGTTCAGAATATGTGTGCAATTAATCTCAAATTAAATTTGCACTGCAACTTCAGAAATGCGGACATGTATGAGAAGAGCAAAAGTTGGGTGTCCTGTCTTTCAAAACAATTTCTGTAGAGAAAAAAAAGCTGAGAGACAAAAGAGAATATATGAAGAGAAATAACTTGAATGATGCACAAGACTTTATTTGCTAACAGTG